AAGCCAAACTCAAATCTACTTTTGTTTGTACTTGCTGGAAGAGCAGTGAAAAGTTCTTTTATTCTAGTGAGCTTTTTTTGCTTTATGCTGTTGCTGTTTGCAGGGTGAAAGTTAGTTGTCAGCACTTGCATTTGTAAATCTCTTTTTAAGGGCTGATTACTCTGGGCTGAAAGTTGGCAGGCAAGATCTCGGCCCTAGAGCATTGTTTGGGGTTTTGCATGTTTTTAAATAACAGATCTATGTGACTGATTTGATTGAGGGAACACATGCTGCTACTCAGACTATAGTAACTCTAGACAGTGAAACAGAGTGCAGAAAAGAACACTTTGAATATGAATGAGAAAAATTAGAGATATCTACAGTGAAAGCAGGAGGATTGGGGGCTACACTCCAGGGAGGTTTTTAGGGAGGCCAGCAAGAGCAGTAGGGGTTTTGTTTGCTGTGTAACAATCAGGGAGATAGACGTCTTTTCCAAACTATTTGCAAGGTTGTGGTGCATGTGGATGCAGTGTTTATAAATACCTTCAGACAGTAGCACATTAACTCTGCCCATACTGAGATACCCAGACCTGCTCTAAATGCAGTGTAAAGGTTGGCTGGGTGTTGGCACCGCACTGACACACACGTGTGGCTTCTGGATGAGAGCAGTCCCAGCTCTGCTTGGCTTGGCACCCAGGCAAGAGTCATCATGTGCTTGTGTGCACTTATCTGTGCAGGCATTCTGTGGGCCATTGCTGGTTTGTATCTTCTGAAGTTATGGAATTCTTATAACTCGATGGCTTTGAAAATACTTCACAGAGAAGAACCATGCTGTCAGCTTTAAAAAAACCAAAATGCTACAACTGCCAAAAAAACCTCACAAAAACCTCAGACAAAAAAAAAAAAAATAAAAAAAATTAAAAATCAACTTTCCCCCCCCGCCCCCAAACAAACCCCGTATCTTTCTGTTTGCAAAGGTGGTTGTGGGTGTTGCAGAGTGAAACCAGGAGGCTGAAATACCCGTGTTGCTTGACCAGATGGTCTCAATCCCTCCTGAAAATATTCTTGTAACTCCTCAGGTTAGCCACTCACCAGGTGTCCACAGGGACAGATCTGAACAAGTGAAGGGTGACTAATGAGAAAAGGACTAATAAAGCACTCTTGCCCTTGCTGTTGCAATTACTAGTTTTGCAGATGGAGCAGTGTATTACAGTTTTGGGGAAAGCAAACATGGTTGAATATTGTGCTGTTTCTAAAGAAAAATGTTTTTCCTGTATTTTAAACTTCTCTGTCTTGGCTATTTACAAAACAAGTTTGGACTACTTTTGATAGGTCTCCATAAAATCTGGGCAGTTTCTCTTGGGATAGATATTGTAGAAATAAGTACTTGAATGTCTGTAGTAGAGACAAGAACAGAGTTATTCTCAAGTTGCTGAACTTGACTTATTACTCCATGATGGCCAGATGTCAAGCCAGAAGGATATAATGGTTTACTATATGCATTTGCAGAAATTTAAATCACTGAAACACTGGCCTAGCTTGCCCAGAGAGGTGGTGGATGCACCATGCCTGGAAGCATTCAAGGTCAGGTTGGACAGGACTCTGAGCAATCTGATCTAGTTGAAGATGTCCCTGCTTCTTGCAGAGGAGTTGGACTAAATGACCTTCAAAAGGCCCCTTTCAACTAAAAAAACTGCTCTGTTATTCTGTGATGAAAAAATTGTCATTTGATTGTGATAGCTCAATGTTCTGCTGTAGGTACTGCTGTCTCTATCCCACAAGGGTTTCCAGCTTGCATTTTTCTCTTGAATGTCTCCTGCTTATTGCTGCAACATTTATTTATGCAAAGATACATTGAACTGCTGACTGGTAAATCTTTTAAAGTCATGGACAAATTCACTCTTCAGTTGGATGATAATTTTTATTGCTGCATTAAAATGCTCTGTTTAACTTGTCATTAATTCAGCTGATAAACTCTTTCAAACAGTGAATATGTACCTGTGGTTTCTAGAATTGCCAGTTATTGATTGTGGTTTGTATAAATAAGCTTTTTTATGAAGAGATATATCAATAGTAATGAAAAACATGCTAAAACATATCATATGGAGAGCTTTTAACATTCCATGGTTTTTATTGGTTTTCTCTTTCCTGAAGTATCCCTGCCTTTTTCTACAGCCCTTGTATTCTCTGCCATGATAGTCATGGGAGTCTGCTGCCATGTGGGTTTTGTTCTCTAGGAGTCCACAAGTGGCAGCTCTGCAGCAGGAAAGGTGGCATTAACTTTCCAGAACAGCCCTGCATGTGGAGTCCTTTTGAAGTATCTCACAACCACTGGGATTTTGCAGCTGAGCACTTGACATCCTGCAGACTTGTAGCAGTGGGGTGTATTAAGTGAAGAAAAGTTGCAACAGAAGCTCCCTCCTTCTGTGTTTGGGATCTTTGTGTATGGCTTGCTCATTTGCAGAAAGGCAAAGGCTGATCATTGTTAAAATCATGGGATTTGGAAAGCAAGTTTTATCCTCTTCAAACTAATTATTGCTGTTGTTTGGAGTGCCATTTTGGTACTTAGAGATCAAAATTCAACTTAAATATATGGGTTTGACATTGTAATTACTAAAAAGAATTTGTTTACAAGGTGAGTGGTATTAGGATGGTGTGTATCACAACAAATCCGTGTGTCTAATGAGAATATGATTATTAGTCTGAGTAAGCAAAGTTACCTATGGCTTCAATCTAGACTTGGCCTGGGATAAGCATCTTGCATAATCTCATCTAAGGGACTTCTGAAAAGCAGGAGGGTGATATGCTGCTCTAATTGCTGGTGGCTTACCCAAGGAATTGGGAGTTGCAGTGTGCACACTGCAGTTGTGTGATGTCAGGTTAGCTGACAACCTGTCTATCCTCAGCTGCAATTAATGATTTAGCTGGGTATGTTGGCCAGTCAGCAAATGCTTTAAAGGACATATATGTAGTGGAACTTTTCTTTTTGTTTGACAGATTCATGTAATTGCAGCTGTTTCCCTTCCCTTCCTTCATCCATAGACTGACAAAGTTCTGGTGTTAACACAGTGTGCCAGAGGATGGAAGAGATTGCAGCATGGCTCTGGACAGGCTGATCCTAGAAGGGAATGGGAATATGTGAGATAAATAAGTGACAGAAGGATGTAAAGAGCTACCTTAACATGGATATGGGGATCAAAATGCTGAGTAGATACCACCATTGCTGAGTGAAACGTGCTTGTCTTTCTCTGAAGTAGCCTTTAGCTTATGACTCTGGACTAAAGCTGTGCCCAAGGGTAGTATGAACAGCAGTGGAGGTTGCATACAGCGAATGTGAAATCACTAAGGAATCTTGAGTTCTTTTTAGAAAGAAAAATTAATCCAAAATTTGGAAAGGCTAAACACAATTTCTTTAAAAAACATGAACAGAAGTGTTCTCCAAGAGGCTTAAACACTTCATGCAGTGCTAAAGTGTCTACCTCTTCCCATGCATGGCTTTGAGCAGCACAAAGTCTGGCTATTTAGTACTGCTTTTGAAAAGTTAAAAGTTACTTTCATCCTGGGGATGGTTTTTGGTTGTTTTATAAAATATAAACATCCTGAATGAATTCCAGACTTTGTTATGTAACCTGTGAGTATATTTGTGTGTAACACTGTGAGGGATAGTGTAATTTCTTAGTTCCATTTTAATGTGGTTTTTTGTCTGTGCCAGTTCTTCCTTAAGTAGTTTCTATTCCAGTGTGAGACACATAGTGTTAAGAAAAGAAACTTCTGAGAATATAACAATGACTTGTGTTTCTTTTGAAAACATACTTTTTGTGCTAACTTCACATCAATAGCATGAGGTATTAAGCAACTGTTCATGTAAGATGAAATGTTCATCTTCTTGGGGATGTCAGTATATTTCTTCTCTCAGCTATATGTACAAAATACCTTTTCCATAAACCTGTAATGCAGGTGCTCAAATCAGTTTATAGCTGATCATAGTAATTTTCTTTGAAAATGTTGGAATATATTCAGTCAGTTGCATTTGATATTTGCTTTTGTCCATTTCAAAATACAGTGTAAAGGAGACTCATGGAAAGCCAAATGCTCTAGGACTGAAAGTCTTCTTAACTCTAGCCTTGGCTACCTTTTAGGCTCAAGGTAGCCTAAAAGGGGCTTATGTCCCTAAAGAATGGAACATTACCATTAACTTATATTTGCTACAAATCTTTACATTTTCATTTTAGGGAGATTGCATGTTTGGTTTCACCAGCTTGAAGACAATAAATCTTTCTCATGTGTTGTTACAGATACAGTACTGGAATTTCCTGTGAATAAAAAACTAAAAAAACATTTTACATCTTTTTAGAAAAGAAAAAATTAAAAAGCCTGTCTTTCACACCTCAATATTTACTTTGAGACTTCATGATTTGAATTAGCTTTTATTGTTTGTTTGGCAACTTTTAAAAATAACAGCATTAAATAATAGCATCAAATTTCAAAGCAATGTCACTGTCAGACTTTCAACTCTACTGAGTTTTTAACTTGTTTAATCAAATAAAATAAGATTTTGGGATGATAGAGCAGAAGAACTGGTTGAGCATTACTAGTCTAGCAGAACTGTTGTAACATGTTTCTTAAATCTTGCAAAGATAAAATGACCATAAAAGTAGTTATGGAAGAAGGGTTGGTTTGTGACTAAATGCTTCTTAGTGAGTGGAGTCTGCAGGTGGTGTGAAGAAGTCATGGTTTGAAATGCAGCCTGAATAAGTCAGGTGAGAATCAAGAGAAACTTTCCCAATGGAATTTCCCTGCCCAGTGCTGTGGCAAGTGTTCATCTGTAATCCCAAGGCAGCCAGTGACTGGGAGCTGAGTGTGTCTGCAAGGTGGCTTTATCCTCATTTTATGTTTTCTCTGGATGCATAATCCCAGCTGAATTGTGTGGAAGTTCTTTGGGCCTTTGCTCTGAGTCAGGGCGGCGTGTCTGGAGTGGCTGTGGTTCTCAGGAATTTCAACAACCACTTACAGAATCTTTTGTCTTCTTATTTCTGCAGCTTACAAAGGTGACCAGTAAAGTTCTCTCTGAGCAGCCAAAAAGCAGACAGCTCATGACTTCTGATCAGGACACTAAAGTTGTGGCTGAACCGCAGGTGCAGCAAGTACAAGAAGTTAAGGACGGTTCTCATCTAGTAAGTATTCTAATTGCATGTTCCCCTGGTGTGCTGTAGGAAACATTGTGTTTTCATCATGTCTTAATCAAAATTGTAGGTCAGAACATTTTAGAAGACAGTTGGCTGACAGAAAGCATTGAAACATTAAACAGCCACAACAGAGCTGTTGGAGGTGGTTAGTTCTCCATATTGACTAGAAACTCAACTTAGCTTGGCTTCAGCCCTTTGGGGGGGGATTTACATAAACTGCAAGGTAGGACAGTTTGCAGTCATTTAGGGTACAGGGGTTTTTAGGCTATGCAGGAATTGTATCACTAATCTTGAATTAAGTTCTTGGTCACACTTTGCCATGTGAGGACAATACAGGGAATGCACTTTGTGTGTACATGTAATTGAAAAAAGCACAAAGCCATAGAAGCGGGAGCTGGCAGTCTGTAACAGGAATTTTGCTCAGTCAGTTGTGCCAAGTGGCACGTGCTGCTGTTGCTGTGCTGCTGTGCAGGATCCAGTCAGTGGCTGTATGGGATGCTTGTGCATACATGTTGTAGTAAATGCTGCATATGTCTTCAAGAAGACTGAAGACTTGATTGTTATTTAAATATGTTCGAATTTTTGCTTTTGTTAACTGTATATTGGGAGCAATGTTTCCTCTTGGGACATCTTAAAGGGTTTGGTTTCATTGTATGTTCTGCCAGGAGTTTCACTTGTGCCATGCTGAGGAGCAGATAGTTCCTGCTTCCAGATTAGCTTAGAGCAAGCACTAGGGAGCGTTCTGAAAAACTCATGCTTTGCTTTTCTGAGAAAGCTGGTGCACTTTTTGTTTGTTCCTCTTCCCCCTTTTTTTTCCTGAGTTCTCTGTTTTACATTTCTTAGATGTGAATTTTTACTTGTTTGACAGTAGAGGAAAAAATTCAACTTGGTTTTCTGCCATACTTCTGGAAGTTGAACTTTGAGATGTGCTGGGGTTTTTTTTGGTGTTTGTTTGTTTGTTTTTCTGTACCCAGAGTATTAGTGCAAATAAACTTGAGTAAGAGTGGCTTGAAGATTTTCTTGAAGAGCTAGAAGCTGTTGGTGCATTAGCATTAAAGGCAATTTATTGTCTTCATATGGGTGCTGGTTCTTTGACATACTAGAGTTTTTATTTAAAAAAAATGTATTTAAATCTTAATTCCTGTTCTTCCCTACTTAATTGGAGAAAAAGAGCATAACCATTTATTTATATTTCAGGAGACCTTACTGTTCTTTTCATGAGAAGAGAAAGCTGATGTCAGTTTAGGTGGCTTGGAATGTACCCGTAATGCTGTAATGGTACATTTCAGATAACTTGTTCTATTGTGATTAAAGCTTTTCTTTGGGTGAATATTTTATCTGAAAAAGATGAGACCTCTAGCTTATTAGGTTTTAAGTTATACTAATATGATACTCTTATGTGTACAACATCAGAAGGTCATTCTCATATGAGCATAATTACCAATATATTTGTTAACAGTGGTGCTTTCAAAATGGTCCCTTCTGTAATGCCATGCTTACATGAGTTGATTTTTGTCAGCGCTTCAGGACTTCACTTGCAAGTTCTGTGAACAAGATTATAATTGGAGAAAACTTCACAGAGTGCAGAGAAGAGTAGGCAAACTAAGATCATTAAAACACTTCCATCTTTCCATAAATGTGATAGGAAGGAGAAAAAACTTCTGGAATCCTGGCTCTATTGCCTGTAGCAAGTACATACTTCAGGTCAGGTGAAAAGACCTGCTGTTTCTTGTGTTTAATTATTTTGAGATCAGAGTGCTAGACTGCAAAAAAATGTAGGTGCATGTTTGTGCTGATCATTATTTCAGTGTGCATTTGATATGGGGCCATACTGCCCTGGCACCTAGTGAGCTTTCTGGGAGTCTGTTTTTAATAGACTTGTAAGAGATGTGCTGAATTGCATTCCCAGCTGTTTTGGCTGTGCTGTTCCACTGGGATATCTTGATACACCTTGTCCAAATGTTTTTGTTCAGGAAGAAAGTTAATTCAATGGGAAATCTTGATACACTTCTGTAGGTCCTGTAAAAATAGGTATTAGGCTAGTTCTTCATCAGAAGTGGTTATGTAACAAGTATTTTTTTGTTTTCTCTTTGAACAATAACTAAATTTTTCTAATTATGAGCTTGGTCATTCTGTTATTTGGCAAGAACAGAATTGAAGACGTTCTACTGTGAGTACTGTTGAATTGGTAATCAATAGTGACTAAATTAAAATGAAGATTTTGATATTTTGAAGGAATCCTTCAGAAGTCACTTTTCAGGGTTGCTGGTTAAAGATACACAGGTCACTTTTTCACGAACATGTATCAAAGTCTTAACCTCAGAGTGAGTGAGACAATATTTTCTTCTGCATTGAAGTAACTATGAGACTATGCTATTTAAAGCATAATCTAGGTCAATCACAATGTTGTATGGTTCTAGTCTAGTTGGTTCATTTCCAACACAACCCATCATTTTGGCTGATTCTAGTGATATTTAACAGCAGAATTTTGTGCACAAGTTGTTTGAAGGAAATTGGCATTTTGAGGATCTTCATGGATTTCTTGTCAATAGTAGCTTAGACTTACACACTGGAAGTCCATAGCTTAGAGGATACTAGCAGATTCTTAACTTTGATGGTTTTCTTAGCTTTGGTAGTTAAATGTGCTGTTTTTTCAACTTCTTTAACCTAGAGGTAGGTTTTGTCACTTCAGGTGACATCTGCCAATGGACTGTTTGTATCCTGATTTGACAATTAGTCTTTCTGAGAGAGCCCTTGTTAGGCTGGACCCAGGAGAGTCAGCTTTTAAGAAGCAGTTCACTCCATTTTAACTCACTTCTGTGCTTCCTTTTCAATAGTAACTCTTTGCTGCTAGAAATTAGGTTACTCTGAGGGAAGAGGCCAAGGTGCAAATCCCATGGTGGAGGTAGTTTGTATGTCCTGTCTCTGCCAAATTAAGATTTAACTGACCTTTAGTGTTAAAAGCATGCACAAGTCTTTTTCCTTGCTTATTGAGCCTAAACTCTTCCTCTGCCATTCTAACATTTGAATGTGTGGCTTCTCAGAGCACTTTCCAAGGTCCAAAGAATTTTCTTTCCTTGATTAGTCAAATTGAAGACCTGATCTGGAAATTTGAATATATCTTTAAAAGGGATTCCTGTAACCAAGTTCTGCACAGTGGGGCCATTTAAACTTGCCATCTGATTGCAATATTAGCATCACCCATTCTTTCCCTAGCTGAATAATTACCAGGTGCTGCCATGGGTTTCTGTTAATGGGAATTCTAATCTGTGTGGTACACTGATTTTTGTCAATCCTTATAGGTACTGTAAACAAAAGTTCAATCCTACTGTTGTTCAAAGCAGGGAGGAAATATCTAGAGCTTCCTGAAAGATGGCACTTAATTGTAATTTTAAGTATGTTAAAAAAATGTTTTTCTTAGGAAGGATATGAGAGGATGTCTCAGGCTTATTGCTGCTGGATTATGTTGTTCAAAAATCCTTTTGCAGCCCATTCAAGAATAAGCCTCAAAATGAAAAGGAACTGAGGAAATCAAGTTTAGTAGTTTAATACGGGACCATGTGCTCAGTGAAAATTCAATATACCAGATAATCCTCAGATCATTGGACAAATCACAGTTTTACATGCAATATGTGCCAATTTAATGTTAAGAAGCAGTTTGTATAATGAGTAGGTGGTATTCAAGAGATCATGACTAGCTTTAAACAAGAAATGGGAGAATTAGACTTTAAACTGGATGTGTACAGTATCAGCATCATGAAGGATCAATACTGGTTGGTGTTTGCTCTTTCTGTCATGGTATTCTAGATTTAGGCCATAAGAAAAGTGAATAAGGCCATAGGAATAGTTTTATATATGTAGATGACATCTAATGCTCATGTTTGATTATTTCAGAGTGTAGAATGTGTACTTAAACTCTTAGCAGTCCATTAACCATGGTCTGTTGGAAAGTCAGGCAGCTTGATCAGCTGTTTCAGAAGCCTGCAGTGGTGTCGCTGCAACATCTGCTGTGAGGCTGCTCCTCTGTGTCCCTTCCCTGGCGATGGGCATGGCATCAGGTGTGGCCTGGGAGTGCAGCATAATCACTGTTTCTTCAGAACTTGTTACAGTTGCATGACTTTGTTATAGAGAAAGAATAAAGGAAGTTAGATTTTTGGTAGGTTGTAAGGATTGTTTTGGCTTGTGTTATTCTAACTTTGAATCTAGATTGTTTTTAAATTTGGGCCTATAAGGCTATATCTGGGATAAACCCTTACTCCTTGGCAAGGAATAAGTATGTTGAGAAATGAAAGAGGGTAAGTATACTCTAGTTAATAAGCATGTTGACTTCTTGCCTTCTGTGTAGGTGTGTACAGGACATAGGACAAAATACCTATTAAAAAAAGTAATTGTTCAGGTTATGAGAGTGCTGCTTCAGAGCACTTTTGTTTCATGCAGTCAGAAAACCTGTTTAGGCTTTGAGTACATGAGCAATATACCAGAGCTAAAATATGCATGAATAAAGGGAAAAAACCCAAAACAAAATAACAAAATTTACTCCCCAGAGGAGCTGGGCTCTGAAGTAGCAGAGCATGAACTCTGTTAAGTGCTTTTCAAGTTGGTGGCAGTGTTAAGCTCAGCCAGAAGGTGCCTCGAGTGATGTAGCGTAACAGGAGTGGCATTTTCTGCTTAAATTCATGTTGCCTTTTTTCTTTAAAGTTGTAATCCCACACTAAATAGTATTGAGAAATTTGACTTAATGAATGTGCACTGTAGCTGCTTTAAAATAGAAATTATCCCTAAGATAAAAACAAAGGAACAAGTACAAAATGTGCTCTTACACATGAGAAAGGTATGGGAAAACTGGAATAAGTTTCTGCTTGCCTGAACTGCTTCACCCCTTTTCTTTCCATTAGTTGATAGGAGAAGTGGTTGTTAAGGCACTGGAAAAGTGGACTTTGCCCTGCTCTGTCTCTTAAAGACACTTAGCTCCTCTCTAGAAAGCACGA